ATGTAAATTAGGACTTTTTCACAAATATGAGGAGCATGTTAGGGTATGTGTATAATTTCCGCATTAATAACCTTGAATTCTGATCTCTTCAACAAGTTCATATCCTTCAATTACCAACCTTTTAGATTATCTTTCCCTAAGTCCTTAGTGGGAAAACCTTTAACCCTTCATCCTAAATCCTAAGTCTTTAGAGATATCTGATGGAGTCAATCCTTTATTTTATCAAGAGTGATCTGGTAATTATAGGGTATCCCTAGTCCTAGATGATATCTACTATAGCCTAATCATACAAAAACCTTAACAATCGCGGTCCAACTGGTTGTTAACCGTAGATCAATCATAATTAGTTCGATCAGGAAAGCATGAAAACATTGCACGATTAAACTAAATAAGAAAACAACTTTATTAAAGAACTCACGAATTCGTAAGCATTATAGATTCAAATCAGGGACACCCCCTAGCATTAGGGATTTATCTACTCATATTGTTCAAAATAATCACAAGACAAAATATAGACATTACAAGAATTGGGGTGAACTTTGATCTTCAATTGCTTCCGAGCATGAAAATCTCATGTCTCCGAAAACCTTGACTTCTCCAATCTTCAATCGTGTAAACTATTCTTCGCTCCCAAAAAAGCCCATTCTCCCTTCTCAGAAACAAACCTAAGTAATATCAGGTCATCACCCAGTCGTGCAAAAAGTCCAAAGTATCCTTAATGATTCAAGACCACATCAAACTCCAAAAATCAGAAATATTATTGCACCTCCCAACACAGGCCGTGTCAGGTGACACGGGCACCCGTGTTGACCCTCTTCCTTTTTCATTTAAGCTTCCAAGTATCAGGCATGTTGACACGGGCCATGTCAGGTGACACGGGCACTCATGTCACACCCTTGACTTCTCCTATTTCTGGCTTCGTCTTGGCTATCATCCTAAAACAGCCCGTGTCAGGTGACACGGGTGGCCGTGTCAGGCCTCTGTAGGTGGATTATTTGCATTTCTTCTAAAACTTTGAGATTTGCACTGATTTATCTTGATTTAATCTGTTGAACCTGAAAACAGCAAACTACACAACCAACGCATAAAACATATAAGATTGGAATAAAACACTTGACAAAATGAAGAAACGATAACTAAAATCAACTGCTAAATATCTGTGTAAAAACCACTTATCAATATCTCTTCCAGATCTCTGGCGAAAATCTTAAAATACCCCCAGAATTCAGAAGTGCATATCCGAACGAACCACCAACGTGATTTATTAAATTAACTTCGGATATGCATATCTGAAGTCACCTGTTAGACAATTTCGGATATGCATATCCGAATTTATCCCTGGGCAGAATATTTTTCAAAACATAATTCATGACATTCATTCAACATAATTCAAAGAAGTTACATAAATAATTATGCGGAAAATAAAAGATACATATTGTTATAAATGGATAGTTGAGAACGTCTCAATATCTTGATATCTTTTGCCGATCTTTGAAGTTTCGCATCCATCTCAATCGGACCCTTAGTAGAGTATTGTTGAAAGGTACCCCACATAACCTCTAAATCGTCGTCGTTCTTGAGCTCAAACATGGTGAACTTTATGTTTCCTTCAGTGTCAATTGATGGTGAATGATACTCAAGCTTGACCACCTTTCGATTCTCCGGATATTGCAAAAGAGAATGCAGTATGTTAATGAGCTCGGCGAATGGCGTGCCTTGCGAGAACCTGAATTGAAATGGTGATTACGCACCACTGATGTAGACAAAAGAGAGGTGTGGATATGTTTGTGTCATATCTGATTGTGGTATGTGAATGGTAAAGAAATTATATGGAGGACCCAATTTATAACCTTTTTGGAGCAATATGGGCCAAAGAAATCTTATCATGACATAATTCGGATATGAACATCTGAATTAACCTTTTTTTATCAAAGTTAGGAGTTTTCAGAAATGCACATCTAAAAACACCACGTTTTTTAATTAAAATAAGAGGTGAATTCGGATGTTAATGTTCGAATTATGCCATGTGTTATTTATTTTTTAAGTTTAAGGGCACTTCCGAATTATGCAGAACCATAAATCAATATTTGTATCAAAGTGACATGAAAAATAAACAATTGTAAAACAAAAGATAGATGATATGTTATATATGTATTATAACGTATAAATTTTAGGATGTGTACGATAATACATTCAAAAAAGGCAAAATACTCATTCTGGTCTCTTAATTATACCCTTGAGTTCAGATTGGTCCCTTAATTTTTTTCGTGTCACTTTGGTCCCTTAACTTCCAAAATGTTTCATTTTAGTCAATTTTGTCTAATTAACGACGGAAAAACTTTAAAATTCGTTGCTAAATTCGTTGCTAATTAGAGAAAAAAGACTAAAATGCAACGTTTTAAAAGTTAAAGGACCAAAGTGACACAAAAAAAATTAAGGGACCAATCTGAATTCAAGGGTATAGTTAAGGGACCAAAATAAGTATTTTGCCTTCAAAAAATGGTTCGATTACATTCTAAAATGAACCAAACAAATTATAACTGCTTAAATCTAAAAACGGTTCTTTCTTCGACTTCTCCATATTTGATTCTCTCTCAAGCTCCATCAAATTGGTGAACTCTACCATCGTATCCGAAAATTCATCTGACTATATTTTCCCCTCTTTTTCATGATGTGTCTTCCATTCTACGGATGTAGCTGGTATAGGACAATCCGATTTCAAATAAACCTGAATAAATGGTATAATCTAAGGTACCTAATACACATGATGTGGCCGGATGGACCTTTAGGCGGGGGAGTCTGAAGAGGAAAAAATATCTTTGAAAACTCATACCTCGTCAAGTCGATGCACACCTTCTTGTACGCACTTGCTATAAAATGACACATTTCAGGAAAGCTCATTCACTAGAAGTTGGTGATCTAATGGTAACACTTGGAGCAAGAGCGTGATGAACTTTATTAAATTTCTATGTAGTCACATATAGGCGAGTGTGGAGTTCTCTATGCGCCGTCAACTCGAAAATAAGTGTTTGACGCACAAGAGTGTAACTTTTTTCTCCATCACCAAGTAACCCAGACACAGCACGATAACCGTAATTACCCACTCCCCACATCAACAATTCGTTTAATGTGTGTGTGTATAAAAAGCGTTATCTCATCAATGTAGATAATATGAGGCGGTTGTGGTTGTTTTTAATAGACGGTGTACGAGATGATTTGAAAATGCGAACTCCTTTGTTAAGATTAGTTTTGGATTTTGGGGTTGGAGAATCTGAGAATATTGAATCAACAACTTCATGATAAGAAGGAGTCCGCTTTATTGAACTGTCACCGAGAACTTTTCACTTTTTTAGGTCCACCTTTTATTTTTACGGGTTGCGATGGGGTTTCAAATCAGTTGTTTTCGGAAAGGCGACTTTTATCAATTGTTCTTTAATGTGCAACTTCATAGCATCATCCACTTTAGAAAATCTATCAGTTATCACAATAAAAAGTTGCTTTTCACTAATTCCATTGTCGGGCCTTTCAATCACAACGCCAAACCCAAGCTTGCTAGCTTCCACTCGAACCCATTCAAACATATGTTGACGAGATGTGAAACTTTTATCATTTTGAAATTGTTATCCATAATTTATCACAACATCAATCAACGTCTTTCACCGCAATCGGCTTATCATCTTCACTAACCTTGTCTGAAACCTTTACGATAGCTTTGACAATATTATCGGGGTGCACCATACTTAACATGTTAAAAATAACACTAACATGTTAAAAATATATTAATTCTGTTAAAACAGAATTCTGGTTTTGTAACAGACATTGTTTCAGATATGCAATCCGGATTATGGTAGATTGAATTCAGAAGTACATATCTGAAGTGACATTGTTTTCTTCTTCCACAAATCAGCTTCAATGGAGAAAATATATAATGAAATAATAAAAATTTACCTCAAATTGCAGCTTTTTATACTCTCTTTGATATAGTCAAACACTTAAAACTTGATTTGGAGACGAAAAATCAATTGAAAATGATTGAAGGTTTATGAAAGTTTTGATTATGGAAGAATATAAAATAAATGGAATAGTTAGAATAGATGACCATGCATCTTTCTAATATAATAAAGGTGATTTCAAAAATACAATTCTAAATTTACCTATCATAATGTTTCGGATGTGCATATCCAAAACAACCTAAAAATTTCAAATCAAATGTTCAAGTATTAAAACGTGAAAATATAGTGTCTCGAAAATGCACATCTGAAATATCCTGTTAGATGAATTTGAAAATACATTTCTAAAAAGTATTTTTGAGTTTTCAGTGATAAAAATCACCACTACTAGATAGAAACAGAAATTCTCTTTAATAATTGTTGTTGGAACTGAAAAGGTCTCGATGAGTAAGAAAAATGAGTCATTTTTCAAGATAAAATAAGTTTAACCGACTAAAATACTTACATTAATAGAGTAACTAAGATGCACATAAATATAGGGGTATTGCTTAGTAAGAACTTATTACAAAAATCATGAATATTACATTAAACTTTTATTGCTTATATATTAACAAGTTTACGAACTCTCCTTTAAAATCTTGCAAAATTGAAACTAAAAAACTTACCAAATGAACTTACCATTGGTCACCAAAAAGAAAAAGAGCTAAGAAAACAAAAAGAGCATACAAACAACAAAGCAACACAACTTCTGGTGGTGGTGGTGGTGGTGATGCGGGGGCATAAAGCACACGTTGGTATGTATGTGGTAATACGCAGTCATGCTAACAACTCAATCATATAACTAATCCTCTTTAAAATAATGTATGCATGCATCAATCCAGAAAAGTTTATTTGCCTTTTGTGGGGATCAAAGATAGCATATGACTCAAGTTGAGGATTGCAACTCCTCTTTACATAGTTGAATTGCCTGACTCATTTCTCATTAAGAGTAAGCCCCCAAAAACTAAACGCTTAAAATCCAACAGTAGCCAGCTGAGCCATATGCTAATATCATCTATTATCAGCTTGACATAGCCTAGCTCGCCCAGGATTTAGAAGTGATTCTGACATAGTCCAGCCCTGCAAGTAAATAGATTTATAATTTATACGTACTGTGCATTTGGAATGATCAATTTTCTATATATATATATACACACAGTAACAGAAAATTTGTTCATATCCCAGCAGCAAGCCCTCAAATGTTAATTATTTACAATAAACAGTATCATTAACTTAAAACAGAACCAAATAACAAAGTTGAAATCTCCGCTCTTAATGGGAGAGTTTGAAGATGCAATCTCTTATAATGTTCACTGCAACTATAACAATAAACTCCAAAATGAAGATGGGCATAAACCAATCCTTGATAGAGAATACCAATGCCATGTCTGCCCAAGGTATACTCGCACCAAGTAGGGAATCATGCAACAAGCCAGCGGAGTGTGGAAAAAAGATAGGAATCTGGTATTTTATTAAGAAGAATAGGAAAGACATTCTCTGATTGCAGCATTGCAAACCTTTCAGGATTTGCACCTTATGGTCTCAAGGTCACAATAACCTCAAATGCCAAGATAATATCCACAATTGACACCCAGTAAACCAATTGGAAATTTTCTAGTATGTTGTTCACTCGCGGTCACACACTCTTTCGAAAAAATTATTATCAAATCACCCATCCTAAAAGTGCTCCAAGTCAAACTCCTTTGGAGCTCCAAAGATGTGGGCTCACGAAAAGATGCTTCTTTTTATAGGTAGTATTGAGCAGTTCTTTTAGCATCTGTTTGCAAGTTAGTTTTTGGAGGATTTTGGAAGGGAATGATTTGCAAGGTTGTCTATATTGACATATATTTATAAAAAAAAAACTAAAAAATGATACACTAGAACATAACATCATGTTGCTTCTTTAATTTTTTTTTTAAATATCAAATACTTATTAAAATATAGATGTCGCTCTTCAAAGTCCTCCCCCTCCAAAGCCTTCCAAAAACCAGCTCGCAAACAAATGCTTAAATTTCCTCCACTATGCTCTCATTTCTACATAAGCTCGCAAATTCTTTGGTTCTAATGTGAATTTGGTTCGACGAAGTGTTCCTTCGTCTAGAAGCCTGCTAGATGCCCTTCCTTGTCTGAGCTTCATCTTTTGCATTGGTTATCATTTGCTCCTTCAGCCCCAGATGTCACACACTTATATTCTACTACGACACACTCCTAAGTATTCAATTTAGAGAGGTTGAAATTGTTTGGGTGGTTCAAAGAGTTGAAACTGGCTCATCAAACTCCCAACAGTGGGATCCTGGTGGAAGGACCCAAGTTTTCAACTATTGTAAGAATTGCCACAGGTCAGTTTTTAATTCAGTGGAAAAGAATTTGTTCGGAGTCGGTTCAATATCCCCCACCATGCATATAGGAAGCCTCACTGGAAGTTGTTCATGCCCAAACCACACAAGGATTCAATACTACAAGTGTACAAATGTCTCGGCACCAAAAAGGGAGGAAGCCTCTGGTGGAAAAGCAGATTTTATCAAGCAGACGAAACCTCCTTTCTATACTGCAGGTTGGGACGTGGCAGACGCTATTAGAGAGTGAATTGTGTCTCTGCCTTGAGGACAAGGCAAATTTAAAGGGGTGGTATTGTTAGGTACCAGATATGTATGTGTAAGCCCAATAATTCTAGGCTCATCTGGAGTCATCCAAAGTCGAAAATTAGAGAAATGATAGTTAGTTACAGGAGAAAGAAAGGAGAAAGGGTCTAGTTGGTTATAAAGAGGGTTGAAAGATAGAGAGAAGAGGTATCTTGGGAGTCATTTGTGTAGTTATGAACAGAGAATATTGTTCACTGTAGGAGCTTTGCTCCATGTGCATTAGGATATTCATCCTTCTGCAATTATCTTTCATTTACATGAATAATAAACTACTTTTTCCAGTATTTATGCATTTTTATCCGTTTCTTCTATATTTTGCAAGTATCGGTGATACGGGTACGCAACAATATTTATTTCACCATTTATATACTTACCTAAATGGTCTATATTGCTAGCAATCTCCCATTCTCTAAAGTTGTCCTTAAGGTGAACAACTTTTAGGTGTTGATAAACAAAGTCTCCACTGAGATCCTATTATTGGAAGCATATTGACATGTGTACAAATGTTTACTATGGTCTGCTTGTCCTTCACCAATATTCAAGCTTAGCGTCCAATAACCCTTACTGGTTGAGTCATGAATGATTGATCTTGATCCCATATCCAATATTCAAGCTTAGCATCGGTTGAATCTAGGTTGGAGAAGTAGAAGCAGTCCAAATCTATTGTCATTCTTGTTTCAAAATCTGATGCCAACGTCATTCAAGGCCCAAATTCTCCCAAAACATCCCTAGATAATTTCACTCTCTTCTATTCTATTATTTATAACCTATTATCTTTTCCTAAATCTCTTACATTACCCTATTTCCAGAGTGGACCTACGGGTTACATCCACTAATTCCATTATAGAATTATACTCTCCTAATTACTATGTTTATTGATATCTACTAAAAATTTGTTCCAAAATATTCTCTACTAATTGCTATACTTAACATATTTAATGGCTTTATCACTAGGTCCATCCTTATTTCTCCTTTATATGCATTCCTAACTGGGGTATGTTACTAATAAAAAATACAATGTCATCCAAGTGTCGAATAATTCAAGACTTTATTCCACAACTACATTTAAAAATAACTTATTCAATGCCAGGTCCACAAAATACTGCGGTGTCGACATATAATATGATGTTGAATAAATTAGTTAATCTTGCTCCATTACCTGTTCATGTACTTTATTTTTGAAAAGCCAGTAAGCATTTGTGACAACTTTACAGGAATCAGCAACACAAGCCTCGAGATCAGCAACTGAGAGCATCACATTTAAATTAAGATCCTCACTTTGTTTCCAAGATGAGACTTTACTTTTATTCAACGATTTTATAAAACTCGAGAGCACATGAGCCTGGAAAATAAGATTATTTATATTTATGTACTTCTCAAAATAAGAACTCCCCAAATGTGCTATAAAATTGCAAGATAGACATATATCTCACATGAAATGCTGCTTTTAGAATGTCGTCTGACTTTGCCTGATCCTTGAGCACAGCATGAACCTTAGATTTTGAAGGATTATATGTCACAATGTACCTCTCCTTCTGCAATCAATTTAAAAAAACTGTAAGAATGTATCATACAGAAATGTCAATCGAAGTAATAAATCTTCAGAATAGTCAAAAATCATTTCGCTCTCAGTAAAGGACATACGTCAAACAGTGGCTCTATAGCAACATAAGCACTGGGGTCTTGGAATGCGTCCTTGACTCTTGATCCTACAGTCAATTAAAAAACATAGTTTTAATTATTCAGAAAAAAATCAGTTTAATTATTCAAACAAAATGGCTGGAGTTGACGAGTAAAACTATTTCAGTCCATTGATATACCAAGGACAACAGGTTTATCTTTCCACGGAAAACTGAATATATCCTCATTCAAGTTGCCCTCCCGCAAAGTCGGAACTTGTCCTGAAATAGATTAGTTCAGTTAAAATACGACTGAAGCATTTAGTGGAATAGTATATCAGAGAGCTCCAGTGCTTTAAGTTATTAAAATGACTATGCAAACGATAACAGACTGCTCAACAAAAACAGAACAGATTAACTATTTGATGTCAACAAAAAACCAATATGTTTCTCTCTTAATTGTGTTAGGATTAGGAAGATGTTAGTACAACTACAGTAATGTTATGATACCTGTCTTGAGGAAGGACTCTACCGCCACACTGAATCTTGCGGAGTTAAGTGTGTGCAAAACCACAGATTTTACCTATTAATACAATAAGCATTAGTGACAAAACCACTGAATCGGATGTACAGTTACTAAACATCATCATTAGAAATACAAAACCAAACCTCTTGATAAGAGCTAAGGATATATCCACACGAAAGAAGGGAAAAGGTGGCGATAAGAGACGGATTCCTTTTGGCAATCATTATGCTAAACCCAGTACCTAACTGCATATTGCAAAAGAGATTCAGTATTTGATTTCATCAAAAGCGGCAAAAAAACAAAGTTGCCAGCGTATACAAGATTCTAAAAGTATTTAAAAACAAAATTAGTATATATAGATCACGAGCTTAAATATCAAATGGATTAAATGGCATACTATTGCATAATATAATATTGACTGGAAGCTGTTTATACTTCTCAATTTGCTACCATACATCACAACAATTTTATAGGTTTAATTGGGTGCTACTTTTAGATAACTATATACAATACTATGGTGTATTATGCCAAAATATAATATTGACTGGAAAGTGGAAATTGTTTATAATGCTCAATTCGCTACCATACAACACATCACAGCAACTTTACTAGTTTAATTGGATGCAACTTTTAGATGACTTTATACATTCAGAACCTCGTAATACTTTAGTAATTTTCTGGTCTTCTATCATAAGTTGAAGTTGGGATTGAGTAAGTGAGTATAATTTAAATTACCAGTTTTAACCAATGGGTTCAGTATAATAATAACTATCAATCCTTCCAAGATTGGGATTCTACTATCAATCATGTTATAATGAGGGGACAAGTAAATTTTAACTAGTTGCAATAACTTGAAAGGATACAGTTTCATGATTTTATACAGTGAAATTGCGTTATAACTTCGGCTTTGTCCAAAAGCTCTACTCATAGTAGCTTCTCCAAAGCAAAATTTAAAAAAAAAAGAAAGTATTTTTTTAATTCTATTTTTTTACTTTAGCATACAGTATTTTATACAGTGATATTTTTTTCAAAATCAAATTGTTATTTTAATGAAAAAGGCTGAAACAACGGGTTTCTGCCCTAGAAGTGAATGTTGCAAATAAGATGCCACCAATACATTCAATAATAATTGTTGAAGTTGATAAACATACCAGGTCTGCAATATTGCCAACACATTCTCCTTTAGCAGTGACATCCCCTATGTTTTCACCTTTAGCAAAGGCTTTATAAATTGGTGTCCTAGTTGATGTTGATGTTACAGCAGCAACATTCTAAGAGGATAAATAAACTAGTTAGCCTAGAGAACTGACATGAAAAGGAATCGCTCATGACAACCAACTAAAATCATCAAACCTTGAGTACATTAGCGGCACAAGCCAAAGGAAGAAATAGATGTGGTGCTGCAGCAGTTGCTAGTTCCACCCCAGCACCCAACTCCATTAGAAGATCACCAGCAAACCGCAACTGTAACATAACAACTTTCAGACATCAGAAGATTGTATGATATCTCTGAATTGAATTATGAAATTGAAGTATATAACTACCTGTTTGAGATCATAATCAAACTTTTTTCCTTGCCGAGCAAAAAGCATCTTTCCCACACGACCAGCTCCATCCTACATACAATATTCATGTTGACATTCACTTCAATATAAAGAGGGTACAAAAAGACAATAGAACATTCATATGTAATAAGATGCAACCAAATAAGATCAGTGGAGAATAAGAAGTAGATCTTCGTGGTGCATATTTTAGTCATTAATTGTAGATATACAAGAACAACAACAACCAGGTGTTACCCCGCCATAACCAGGTGAAACAATGTATTTTGATGATAAAAGTAAAATAATGAGTTGTGAATGAAGATTTACCTTGAGAATCCAGTTGATTGCAACAGCCCCGGGAGTGGCTCTGTTTCTAGAGACACCAACTGAACTCAAAAGGGTTTGAGTAGTGAAAACACCCATTGCTCCACCAAAAAAGTGCTGAAACAAAAATAAATTATTATTATTAGCTATAAAGAAAATCAATAGAAAAGGTGAAGAATTACCTTGAGAGCCCTCCAAGTCATGTAGGGAACATACGAAGGCGTAACACTATCCGGAAAAGCCTCAGGAACGACATAGGATGTAACAAACGCCATCAATTGATCAAGAGGAGGCTTAGGGGTTTGTAAACTGAGAGAACGAAAGGAATTATTCTTGAATTGACCGGAGGAATCGGTATCGGCGACGTACTTCCATCTCCGGCCATCGATTTCCTCGCAGCAGATGAATCTGACGGAGGAGGTAGAAGTGGTTTCGAGGAGAGGCGTGGAGGCTAATTCGGCACTGATACGGAGCGTTTCGCGGATGAGAATATCTTGAGAAGAAGGAGATGCTATCTTGGAAGTCTGCTTCTTCATATTCAAAGGATTGGGAGGGATAGCCATGAATGAGATGAGATGAGATGAGAGGTGTAGATATTAATTTGAATGAGAGAGCATAGTTTTCATCGAAAGACTTGAAAAGGGGTTATTATAAATATATAAAAAGATGGCCAAGAGAATCAAGAACAACATTCACACAGCCAAACTTGTGACTTCGCTTTCACTCACACAGTCACACAGCCAAACTTCTTTCTCTCATCCAGTAGTCCACTAAGGACGGTGTCACCACATCCCACCATCTCTAACTCCTTTTTATCACTACTACTTACTACTCACTCTTTTTCTTCTTTTTTTTTTCTTTTACAAACTCCACCCCCTCCATTTTTTTCTAACCAACCCTAATTACACATCATCATTAATATCTAATGATGCCAATGGATACCCCTAGTTAGTTAGGACTATTAGTTTTTTTTTTTTTTTTTGGTATAATTAGTCCACAAGTCTCGTAAGTTAATTTTGAGTTGCGATTCAATTCTTCAATAAAAAATCATTTCGATTTAGTCCCGTAATATTACTTTCGTTAACATATTCGATCCATTTTGTTATTTTAGGTGTTAAACTGTTAGTAAGTGTCAGGGTGACATGCCAATTGTGTGCTTAGTCATCAAATAAATAAATAAATTATTATTTAAAGGGGTAAATGGTGTCTCCATGTTGTCTTCATCCATAATCTCTTCGTATTGTTTGTGCATATTATCACTCATAAGTTTGTTTTTGTGTTTGATTTCTTCTATTCATCTTGTTCTTTTCATCTTGTCTCCATTCCTAGGGTTTTATTATTCTTTAATGTTTAAGTTGTCAAACAGTGCTTCCATTGGAACATCTAGGTCGGTTATTCACAGAAACAAGAGGAGGGAGTGTTTTTGCCAAAATTAATGTGTGCTTCGTACCGTGGGTGACATGAATAGTGTCAATTTTGGGAAAAAGTTTTGGGGTTGCAGAAATTTTATAAATCACATGAATAATTGATGTAATTTCTTCAAATGATTCGACGACAACATTATTGATGAAAGGGATTTGAAGATCTAGAGGAAAAAGAAGAAAATTTATAAATTGAAGAATGAGATCATCAATATTAGGGGATGGTTGAAAGTGTCTGAAATCATTGGAATAATGAGCTTAGTGTGTAATGTTATATGTGTAACAATTTTTTTAGGTTGGTTATTTGTCTGTGTAATGAGATGTATTTGTGAACAATGAGGTTGAAATATATCAGTTGAAATGTTACTTTTGTTTGTTTATCAATGAAATGTATTTACTGAAATGTTACTTTTGTTTGTTTCCCATAATATACAAGAACAAATGCACACCTTAAATGGTCATAACGATAGTAAAAAAACCATGACAGAAGTTGCAATATAAGCCTTAGTATATAAAAGTGACATTAAAAGCCATAATCATATGTTACAGCGGTAGAAGCCTTACTACACACAAAAAACAATATAAGCCTTAGTACACAAAATAAGCATTATAAGCCATAGTCTTATGTCACATCAGTAGAAACCTCAGTACACAAAATAAACCATAGTCATATGTTATAGGCCAAAAGTGGCATTATAAGCCTTAGTCATAGACTACAAATCAAAGATAAACATAAATCTTAGGGTTGGATCAGAACTGGTTGTAGACCTTTTTGAAGTCTCTTTCTCTTTTTAGATGGTTGTTGAGTTGAACATCCATCTGGTGTTGTTGTCTTGAGGCAACAATTGGTGGTGGTTGGCTTGATGTAGCAGCAGCAGTTGGTGAATGGCTTGATGTAGCAACATCAGTTGGTGGTTGGCTTGATGCACCAGTAACATTTGATGGTTGGCTTTATGTTGCAGCGGTGTAGGCAACTAGCAAGTGGCCTTGTTGTGACCGTTCTTATGGCACCTACTACACTTGATACCAAATTTGGCCCTTTTGAGTTGTGTCTCGTTTCTAAATTGTTCCCCAGTCTCGTTGTTCCTTTTCTTCTTGGGTCTACTAGGTTTCCTTTTTATGGGTGGCGGTTGCAGGTCAACAACATTTGCTTTGGTCCAAAGAGATTCTCAATTGACTGGATAAATCATTGGTGCATAACAAGCCTCATAACACTCATTTTTGTAATAGTCAGGAACAAAATCCTCTACTTGTAAACACTGGTCCTTCATACATGAAAGGGTATGACAACATAGTAGCCCAGTCAGCATCCACCTTCTACATGAACACTCATGCTTTGATAGATTAACAGGAAACTTTTCTTCAATGGGTGATGTATGTATAACCCCATAGTCTACTTCACTTGCACGCTTGTTACAGATACAGAAATCAATTATGGACCAATGATATATCAATTGATTCTTCTTTGTATTACCTAAAAATCAAGTACGAAACATTACCTAACCATTCAACTGTTAGTTCTTTGTGATTCTATTTCAAACTTGTTTTTGATATTGGGCAGAATAGTATCAGCATATTTGGAAACCTTTTGTCTGTTAGACTCCCACCTTTGCATCAAGTACACTCTAATCTCTTCAAGCATGGTCACAATGGGCTTGGCTCTTGCAGCTACAAATACAAAGTTAAAGTCTTCTGGCATGTTGCTCACCAAAGTGTCACACTTTGGACCATTTTTAAACATAGATTTACTCCAGAACCTTGGTGGGAACTTCCAAAGGTGCTTGAAGGCTTCTTCATTAACCTCTTTCATTTCACGCATAATTTTTCCCAATCATTTGAATGACTTGCATTAGCAGCCTTCCACGTCAATTTCTTTAATTTGACACCGAGAAACTTCTTCCTGAAATTTCTATATAAGTGCCTACCAGTAACACATGTCAAACATCCACATCAGAAATTAACAAGAATAAAAGGTTTCAAATCTGACTTAGCAATAAAATGTTTACCTAACACAAAATAGTTGGTCAACTTCTGGCAGCATTTGGTCATTAGGATCCCTCCCCATTGTTGCAATAATTTGTCCATCATAATAGCCTTTCAAAAAGCATCCACACAAACCTATGATAGGTCTGCACTTAAAGAAACTATCCTTGTAAGCTTTAAGGAAAATATAAATCCTTTGGAAATGTGGATTCAAAGGCCTGTCGGGATTCTCACTACTTTCCTTTCCACCTTGACTTGGTTGGCTTGGTTGACTACTAATTTTCACAATTAAACCAGGGTTTGCCCTGAACAGCTCATGCACATAATCATGGATTCTTGTATATTGATCCCTAAATGAACCATCAACAATGTCAATAGCAAGTGACTTAGCTCTGTGTGCAAGTGCCTTATTGATCCCTACATTGCACTTTTGTTTTGTTTTCTCCATTATATCACTCAACTTCAAATTAGGATTCTCTCTTAAATTACTTTGAATTTTGTTGCCCAACCATTTGGAATTTAAGAACCTAACCTTATAGTCCCTACTGCATGTGTGCTTGTACACAATCTTTCTCAATGGCCAAGTATTATTATCTTGTAATTTTGCACAGTATGACCCCCATGGACAACCTTTCTTACATATGACTCTCATCCGCTTATTATCAATTTTCTTAAATTGGAGGTTTCTACCTGAATGAATAGCATAAGTTATAATCACCTCTTTAAAGTTTTCATTAGAAGCAAAATAAGTCCCTAATTCCCACTTGTAATCATCCATTATTTTTTAAGGCTTGAAAGTTGGAAAATCATCTTTTAAAACCTCATCATCTTCACTATCATAATCATGTGGTAACTCGTCAGTGTCATACTCCTCAATATCACTCAAACCTCTAAAGCTTTCCTTTGTAGCCTCACATTCATTCACATCATCAAATACACCAGTACCATCAACTTCTTCTTACACCACCTTTTGTTTCCTTGGTCTCCCAACCTTGGCTTTACCCAACCCCTCATCTTCCTTGTTACATTCTAGTCCCTCAACATCTTCTTGGTTACAAATAAGTACCTTAGCAAATGAATCAACTTGAATACTTATAAAGTAAAGTGTGTTATCCAATATATCATATTGGTCACATACTATGCAGTGGTCTCGTCTAAAGTAATATCCATTATTGTATCCTCAAACACAATGCCCCCCTCAAAGTTAACATTCAGACATGACTCTTTTTGGTAATGCTCTTAGTGGTCACATCCATATTAACTTCCTCAAATGAACCTTCTTGTTCAACTGCAACTCAATCTTCTACACTAGTGGGCCCTTCTTTATCAAATTTGTTACCTAGATTATTCAAATCTTTAATGGTCCCCAAGCCATAAAAAATTCCTATTACAGCAGCATTATTCAATTCATCCAACATGTCATCTTCCAAGTTGTTGTCTTCTACACCATTGTGACCTACATTGTTTTCAAGAGGAAGTATTTTCTCTTCCCCAAACACTGTATGCATTACATATAGATGCATATCCCCATTAATCGGTGCAATCGTTTTCATTCTATTTGTTCCTGTGTTGTTTTGCAACATCACTAACTCATTATCATCCATTGCATCATAATACCAAAAGTTATCTAGTTTTGGGTACCCTAAGTCTTTTAACCCACCCAGAATCTCAAAATAACTCCAAAAATTAGGGTTAACATCCCAAATATCCTCTAACCCCTTTTAACCTAGTCTGTTAAACTCACCAAACACATCCACGTGATGGATAACGCACTTAAACCTACCACTCATGACCTAATCACAACAAATAAGAAAGAAATGAGACTTCGGAGTAGAAGACAATGGAACTTTGGAGTAGAAGAAAATGTTAAGGTGATAAATATGAAAATGAAATGGTAATATCATACATGTACCTTGGACTGGAAATGAGACAATGGTAACAATCGTCGTCTTCAAGCACGAGCTCTTCTTTGCAGCTGCTAGGGTTTTTTAGGGAAAGACAATAGAACTACGAAAATGAATGGACGCTTAAGAGTTCTAGATTTTATGTTTCTAAATATGACACATCAGTATATACATATAATAAAAAACAAAACAAAACATTAACAAAATGCCACATCAGTTCGTTAATATGTCACTTAGGCGCCTGTTAACGTTTTCCACTAAAAGTTGACAAAAAGGATTTATTAGTCTAACGAAGTTTGATTAAAGGACCATATTGTAATATTTTAGAATTGTGGGACTAAATTGAAACAATAAATTAAGTTATGGGACTAAAAGATGAATTAAGTTTTTTTTTGTATTCACAGGGTTCAATAACTACGATATTTGTGTTTGTATCATATATTTGTGTGAGTATCTATCAAATAGACATTGGTGGATTTTAAAATATCCAGTGATATTCATAAGTATTATTATTTAAATATTTAAAAAAAATTTATAATTAATTAAAATTTATTAATCCTCTTTTAAATATATAAAAATATTTTTAAATATATCACTAAATAATAATAATAATAACAAAATAAATCATTTATTTTATTCTCTTATTTACCACATAAATATACTAGATTCGATAAAATAATAATAATAATAATAATAATAATAATAATAATAATAATAATAATAATAATAATAATAATAATAATAATAATAATAATAATAATAATAATAATAATAATAATAATAATAATAATAATAATAATAATAATAATAATAATAATAATAATAATAATAATAATAATAATAATAATAATAATAATAATAATAATAATAATAATAATAATAATAATAATAATAATAATAATAATAATAATAATTTCATATACAACAACATAACAATAATAATAATAGTTACATACTTTAACAAAATGGTATAATAATGTCTCGCTAAAAGTACAAATACGAGACAATCTCTAACGTAATAATAGTAATAGTGTATTCGCTAAAAGTATAAATGTTTGACAATCTCTACTAGATAAAGGTTAGCAGAGGCTTTAAGATTGTTATGGTATTGAGAGCTAGCTTCCGTGAGGGGAGAAGCTATTGTATACGTGTATTTTTTGTGTTACTGATCATTTTCAATATTATGCTACTAGTGTATTTATAGTCCCAAAGGCCTAAAATTGGATCTTCCTATAACTTAGCAACCACTCCAAGCATGGGTGGTTGATTCCTTAAAACCTTCGAGTTTGGGTTTAATCCCCACGATATCTTATACATCATTCGCTGACCCTGTATGTGCTTCATACACATTCGCGCACTATAAGCATATGTGTTATAATTTAGGGAAACACGTCCGTATAAGGGGCGCTCAAACTAATGAAAGAACAATGTGGGAAGGACTGGGGACTACGCATATACATTTCGCCCCTCCCTCTAAGTATTTCTCAGTTATACCACTACATATTCCCTAAAGCATGAGGACTCGTAGAGGCCGAAGTGCTTTAATTCTTTTACTTACCTCGACCCTTCCTAAGGAGCCACATCGGGGGGTGTACCCCTACCTTTAGTTCTCAAATTTTTAGATACTTCTTAGGGATGAGTATCGGCGGAGTCCCCACGGGCAAGACTTAGTTGAGTCCCTCTAGAGATACTTAGTTGAGTCATCAAGCAAAGTTAACGTGCTCTATTGTCTAATATGATTGGACAATTGATCAGAGGGATCAGGGAATTGATGCCTAGATTAATGAGTTATACGTCAAGGGATTGGGTATAGTGGTAGAGTTATTCTGCCGTATAACTTTGTAGTTAGCACATGTTTGTTAACGCGTGTTTCATCAATTAAGTAGAAATAGGGAATTCTGATAAGATGGCACGACCGTTTTTCTCATTATCGCTATAAAACTCTTTTCTTGCATTTTCGGCCAAAAAAATCTTAAAGATCCCCCCGTTTACTGTTTTAATTTACATCGCATAATATTCCTTCTTTAAAGTTTGCAATCCATATGGAGATGAATTTAATTTTTATTACTTCAATAACAACGCTAGTACACTTGCTAGTAATTTTGTCGTTAAATTTTTGGTGTCGTTGTCGGGGATTGTTGATATATTCAACAAGGCATAGTGTGTAACTTGTTTATTTTGTTTAATTTCTATTTAATTTTAATTCTATTAATTTGATTATTCACTTTTGTTTTGCATTGAACAATGATACTTAGGTATTATTTTATGTGTTTATGCAATGTTTAAATTCAACGCTTCTGTCGTTGGATTTAGAGATCGAGAGAACTCTAAGAGAAAGCAAATATCAAAGTGTTATTAGCTAAACCATAGTAGAAAGAGGAAGTTGAAATGGAAAATTCACCTCGTCAGACATTCGAGGATTATTGTAGGCGTACCTACACAGATCAAATTTTATGAGGATTCTAACTAGTAAATCAAGTGGAATTTGATATCAAGAATTTTGTGTTTCAGGGTCTGAGAGATAACTCGTTTGATGGTCAAGCCATTTGTGATCCTTGGGAACATCTTTCCAATTTTTATGAAACATGTTCAATGTGTAAACCATTAGGGGATGATATAACTAATGATCAAGTTAAATTACGCTTGTTCGAATTTTCATTGATTGGCAAAGCAAAATACTGATTACAATGTATCCCTAATGGGATGATACAAACATGTAAAGAGCTAGAAAATAAGTTCCTAGAATGATAGTATTCAAACATGCAGTTTGTCAGAAGAAAAGCTGCAGTTACAAATTTTGGCTAAGAAGATAGTGAGTCTATGTTAGATGCTTGGGAATGGTTTAAATTATTACTCCGAAAGTGTCTGAATCACAACCTGAGTTCGATGGATCAATTTTCACATTTTATGAGAGGATTAACAATAACAACTTGAATGATCATTGATGCATCAGCTAGAGGTTCTTTGAGAGAGAAGATTGACGATGAAGTTAAGACACTAATTAAAAATACGGGTCAAAACGAGTATCGCCCAAACGAGCGAGCTGTAAAAGGTAAAGGTGTGTTGGTCGTTGAATACAAACTATATTTATAGATCAAATGTAAGCTCTCACCAAACAGTTGGCTGCCTCTCAGTTGACTCAAGCTAATGTAAGTTAGATACAAACTCTAAAATGTGATTTCTATAGAGAGGAACATTCAAATGGAAATTGTGTCCGAATGTAGAGAGTGTGGAAGTTTAGTATGAAAACTTCCAAAGAAACAATCCATAATCTAATACATATAACCCAAGCTGGAAAGATAATCCAAATTTCAAGTGGAGCGCCAATAGTCAAACTTTGAATCCTACTCAAAGTGCACCACAAGAATCTCAAGCACCTCAGTGGAAACCAATAATTTTAGAAGAAACTTTGAAAAGGTTCATCATATCTACCCAAGAGAGTTTTCTGAAGGTAAGTAGAGCGCAACAAGAGATGATGCAAAGTCAACTAACAACAAATAAGAACACAAAAGCCTTCATAAAAAACTTATAGAATTGGTTTAATTCCTCTTGCATGTATAACCATAATTTACTTAGAGTCTATAAGAGGTTCATTAATAGATATTAGTTATATGATAGACACCAAACCCATAAGTGACTCTTCATCTTGTCTGAATAAAGACCTGGTTCTGACAGGTTCAATTTTGTCATCCAGAATCAATTCCTCAGGAAGTGAAGATCTCTGTCTGTACTTCTTTAGAGGTGCTAGAGTGTTAGTTGCTTCTGGTTAAGCATGTCCAGAGTCTTTGGTCTCGTAATCCTTTTCTTCAGAGTCTGAATATGTAATCTCTAAATCTGCAAAAGTCTCTTTGGTATTAAGCATAAAATAGATGCACCCAAAAGGATGAATGTAAGAAATATTGGGCTTTATATTCTTCCATATTTCATAGGGAGTCTTATTCATAATAGGTCTTATAGATATTATTTTCTGAATATAACATGTTATGTTAACTGATTATGCCCATAAATTTTTTGCCACATTTGTTTCATTGATCATGGTTTTGGCCATTTATTGTAAAGTATGATTTTTTATTTCTACAACTCCATTATGTTGAGGAGTTCTAGGATAAGAGAAATTATGAGAAATGTTATTCCCGTCAAAAAGTTTTTTAAAATTTTATTTTCAAATTCTCCATCATGATCACTTCTGACTTTGACAATTTTAAAATCTTTTTCATTTTCTCCCTTGAGAGCAGAAGGTAGAAAACACAAAATGTGACTCATCCTTATGTCTTAAGAGTTTTACCCATGTCCATATGTTGTAGTCATCAATGACTAGTCCATACTTCTTACCACTGAAAGAGGTTGTTTTCACATGATCAAACATGTCAACGTGTAAGAGCTCTAAATGCTTAGAGATAGAAACCATGTTTTTAGCTCTGAAAGATGTTTTTGAAAACTTGCCTTTCTGACATGCTTCACAAAGAGCATCTGAGTAAACTTCATATTTGAAAGGCCTCTGACCAGGTTTAGCTTATTTAGCTTTGAGTTTCTTCTCATTCTAACATGGTCTAACCTTATGTGCCAAGTCCATTGCTCTTCGTTTATAGACATGAGGCATTTAACATTTTTATTTTCTAAATCAGAAAGTTTAATTTTATAAATTTTGTTTTTTCTCTTGCCTCTGAAAAGTAAAGAGCCATCCTTTTGACTAACAACTT